AGAGGGATGTATAACCTAATAACCCGCTCTAATTTCTATTGTGTTTGATCCTCTAATTCACTGGCACTGCGCAGGCTGACACAATATCACTGTGAAGTGGAGAGGTACATATCAAGAGAGGTACCACCTTATTCTATAACAGGCATATAATTCTCAGCAATAACTGCCCAGGCTGGATGCTCAATGTAGAACACAGCAGTGCCAAGAAGGAAGAACTGCTGGTTTTCCTGCTGCAGAAAACACAAAGTGTGACTTCCAGTAGATCTCAATTCTGCTTAGGGTCTAATAACTCAGGTTAGTAAAGTCAGCTCATTTTTTACTCACCCTACAGCACAGGGAAGCCATCTCCTAACTGGCAGCTCAGAAGCAGTCTGATATGGCTTGTGAGAGCCCACTAGAGCATAAATGCACCCCTGCTACATGTGTTCTATCTACTATGAGCAGCGATTGTTCATCTGCCTGCACTCACTTCTTAGTCTAAGGTATGTAAGTGGCTACTGCCCAGTGGTGGACAACACTGCAACAGCACCTCTGGCCCCAGTCTATCCTTGCAGTGATACAGAGACCTTCACAGAGACTGAAGGATGGATTTGCCTCCTCTTAATCTCGGTGTCAAATCATCCAAGGCCAACACAGATGTGATAGGGGCTCTTGCAAGTGGCTGAAAAGCTAACAAGGTCATTCTGTGCTTAACAAAGAAGGCTTGTCATATCACATGTATTCCCTTGGGACTCTGGTTGCACTGCAGTCCCTCAGGGTCAAACCAAAGAAGTCCCGAGACAACAGAGAATCAGCCCTGTGGTTAGCAAACACTTTAGGATTCCAATCTGAGTCTTGGTTGAGGTGCTGGTGCATGTTAAACAAGGCTGCATGGGGAAGCAAGGCTGGCCAATGGAGAGGGACCTTTACTAACTGGGTAATTAAAAAGCAAAAAGAGAGTTCATGCCATGTTAGTACTGTGAACTTTTGCTCTCAAAGAACACTGTATTTAAAAAAATGAGTCGGAAGAACTGAATGCAGAACATTTACTTATGACAACAGTAAATACAGCTTGTGACTACAATAGCTGGGAAGCGCAGGAACACAGATCTATTCCAGAAAATGGTTGCTATGGATGTTCTTTCATGACTGCGAGCCCTATGTAGCTTCAGTCTGTTTTAAAGACACAGGAGGAGATTCATTAGTGTGTCCAGACCTGAAAAACCAAGATTTGGCCAGGAAACCAAACTCCCATTCTGAAATAATTGGTGAGTTTTTGAAAAAAAACAAGATCCCACATTAGAGTGACAAACTAAAATCTCAAAAAAAAGAGAAAACACCTCCCATAACTGAAATGCCACCATATTTCATTTTGGAACTACAAGAACATGGTGTCTCCAAAAAGAAAGAGGCTCCCTCCAAGCTCAGCAGCTGCTGACTGACACAGACTTGTCAAACCCATTGTCCAACTCTCAGTTCTCAGTGGTGGGCAGCCATGAAGCGGACACGAATAATGTCAACAGCAGTCAGCTGCCAGGGCTTCCCAGCTCTTGGGCAGCCCTGCCACGCAGACTTCTATGGGTCTGGGGAACCCCCAGGCTTCCAATTTCCCAAACAGAAAGGTTTCCTGGCCTGTATGACTCCTGGGACAGCTGCCCCATCCACTTACTTCCCCGGGTTATGGGAATATGGCTCAGGTCAGAAGCCAGCTGACCTAAGATTCTGGATGTCCCAGGTTCCCTGGTCTGGAGCCAGGCACATGGTAGATCTGCCCCAGAATCTCTGGTTCCCCAGAAACCCCGCCAGGTGGACAAGCAGGAAAAGCAAGCTGGCTTCATCAGAATCTGCCTATGATTTGTTGGAAGTCTGCCAAAATTGTCCCAAGTATAATTTCATAAAGCATTTTGGTTCTGGTGAACCAACAAACCTGTCTTCTGTCAGAAAGTTCCCCCCACAGCTCTAGTTCAAGGGAAGAAGAAGCTGGCCCAACCTGTGCTAAATACTGCCACAGCCCCTAAGCAGTTTGCACCAGCAAGGAACTGGCAGGGTGCCGGACCATTCTGGCTATGCCTCACCAGTGCTCAGAACACTAACAGTCTTCAGGGGGGACTGTTACTGATATCCCACAAAGCTGGCTTTATGGCAGGTGCTGTACAGGCACCTGCATTTGTCCTCTTCGCTGTGTGAAAGAGTTCACATCCATCCTATGACCTCTATGCAAGTTATGGGGGAAAAAAGTGAACATGTAATGAAGGTCTGAGCTATAACACATTTACACAAGTGGGTTGAATTAATATTGCATTTGCAGCCTTAAACGTGGCATTTCTGAACTTTCAAGTGCTTGACTTCAGGGCCTTAATTTTCTATTAATGTAACTTCTTTTGTACGTTACATAGATGTAGGTATAACAATAGGACTCCCTGTTAAAGGAGAATGAGAAATACCCGTGACAGTTTTTAATGATTTAACACTGAAAAACATCCAATTTAGACATAAGGTTAGCCATTCCATTAGTATTTGTTGTTATAACTTTTTTTTTTTTGCATTTTAATGAGACCTAGGAGCCCCACACAGGACCCAGGACCCTTTTCTCTAAATATAAAGCAAAAAAATGGCCCTGACATAAAAAACTTTTTCTATTCATTTATTAATATTGTTTATGTTTTGGTTAATGGAAGGTGCTGCTTTAAGAGCAAGGGGGAGTGCTGCATTACTGAAGTTGCCTGCCCATACCAAAGCCACACATAGAAAAAAATTCCCTGCTTATCCAGTAAATGAAAGAACCTGTCTGTATTACATCCAATCAGTTCAGTACTCTCTCTCTCTATATATAGGACTAGATAGATAGATAGATAGATAGATAGATAGATAGATAGATAGATCTCTATATATGCTCTTCTGTTTCCAGGAAGCCAGACTATTCTTGAAAGTAAAACATTAGCATTTCTTGGGAGCCCAATGCCTGAGGGTACTGCTAAATCAGACAGACTGCTTCACCTGAAGGTCACTTGTTTGAATCCAGCTTGGTAGGGATGAAAAGCTGTCCCTGCATAATGAATGTGTGGTAGTCACTCGGTCTGGGTTGCGCTGGGTAAGCTTCAGTTCCAGGTCCCACACCTCAAATTCACCAGCAAGTTTTACTAAATGGCAAGCCCAGCAGAGAGACCAAAACCTCCCTGAGCCTTAAAGACTGAGCTATCTCTGTTACCACTGAGGAACACTACCTTCCCTTCACAGAGCTGAGGTAGAGAAATGTCCATGAGACTCTTGCCCTGCTGCTGCCCCATAGATAAATTCAGGACTTGATTCTCCAGGGCTACCAAGCCAAGGCCAAGGCCAAGGCCTTATATGCTGGCATGGTGTTTTCTTACACTCCCTTCCTGTCACCCCTAGAGACTCTGGTACACCTCTAAAAATGGCAGCTCTCCTACCGTGACCTGAAGGAACACGCTCAGGACTTGACTGAGCTCCTGCTCTTTACTAGGGCCTCCTTAGGACCTGGAAACTTGTCTCCTCAGCTAGACTGACTCAACTGTACAGCCCCCAAAAGCAAACCATGCTGTACAGCTTTCATCCCCTTTGCTCAGCTAATGGAGTGCATTAGAGCCAGCCACTCCCAGAGACCTCCTGGTCCACAGCTGATAAGACTGGGCAGACCTGGTAATGCCTGTCTGATGCATGAAGCCACCTCTTTCCAGTATCCCTAACCATGTGATCTATCTGGCAAAAGCCACCCTGTCTTCTGCTCCTCTCATATTCTTGTGGTGGGTCCTCCAAAAGTGGGTGGCTCACCTAGCCATTTCTTCTGGCACTCAAGAGCTTAGTGTCATATCCTTCCAACATAAGCCCTTGACTGTCCACCACAAACCCTCCAAGTAGACTGCATAGCATCCAGACAATCTCATCCTCACACTAGCTAAGCTGCCCAGGCAGTGGGAGTGCAGCCTACTCAGTGGGAGTCCAGCCATTGAAAGGTCACTGTGTGGGAAGGCCAATTTTCTATGCTTTACCCATGGGCACATCCAGAATTGTGGTGGGCAAAATCTCCTTGTTCCAATGACTCTTCCATTGCCTTCAGGGAGGCACTGTGCAGGGTTTTCTGCTTCTCTTACACAGCACCTTTTACCTCATCCCTTTCTAGTCCTCAATTCATCCTCTGTACTCAGTTGATGTCAGAACCTTCTTTGGCCTCTTCACTTCCCTTGAGGGGTGGAGCACTGTTTCTGGTCACGAAGCTCCCTTCCTGCCCTAACTCCAATATCCCAAAGTCTTCCTCCAGCATGAAATCCCTAGCCTTTTTAAGACAAAGCTTAGTTTTGAATGGAAACTATTTAGAACCATGCAAATTATCTCATTAAACATTTGCCTACAATCACACGCAGAGCAGAAATTGGCTAATAAGCTGTTCCATTGCAAAATGTATTTCTGGCTTTCTGTTGGCTGGAGGGCTAAAACTTGAAACAAAGGACAGTTTAACAAAGTATCTCTTTCAGCTGGAAAGGGCTTATGATTTCAGTGCAGAGTGTCACAAGTTCAAGCTCTCATACCATACAGGCAGACGGGCATATAAACTGGTGATGGCAACATATGCATGTTTGTAACCACTACGTTAACATGAGCTCATTCATGGTACTTTATGACCCTAACCACAAAGAGCTGAAGGATCAAAGATTCATTAGACCATCTGCATTCACTCAGATGTTCCTTGCTCCACCCTCAAAAGGAGCTGGTGTGCTGGGCTGATATCTGCTATATAGGACAGGAAAACTGATGCTGAAGGGAACTATGAGTGAAGGCTCTAAAAACTAACATACATATGGAATGGAGCTCTGCACTAAGGAGATGGTGCATTTGTGTTACTGGATACACCAGACTCCACTTACCCCTGATCCATCCTCAGTGGCAGTAAGTAGCTAGCCATCCCTTTGATGAGAAGTAATGAAGAATGAGGGGTTAACTTGATGAGGACCTTCACCACCCTCCTCCCAAATCCAGTTCGAGAGTTACCAAACATGTCCTACCCTCTCCCACTTCCTCTCCTTGGTCAGAAGAATGATGACCAACTTGGGATGCATCTGGTAGCCGTCCTCACTGAAGGACAAGTTCCTCCCTTCAAAGGTGACATTAATCAGGTACCTGAAAGAGAGAACAGATACGATTTAAACACTCAGGAGCTGTGCCTGAAACAAAGACCTGCTTCCCCCACTACAATTAAATGAGGCTTACAGTAACACTGCATGCTCAAGAAGCAACTGCCTCAGAACAGCAGGGGAAAAGCTGAACAACAGAGGGTGGGTAAGTGGGGGAGACAGAGAGGTAATGAGAAGAGAAGATAACCAAGGACTTGGGAGAAAATAGACAAGACCAAAGTAACTTTACACATTTCACTATTGGCTGCTACAATGGGGTGACTGCTTTCCTTGCCGCTTCCTGCTGTATTCCCATGGCAGTACCCAGAACAACCACATCAGTACAAGTGCATTTGTGGTACTTAATGCCCCCTACCTGAAAGTGTGAAGGAATCAATATTAATGAGCAGTGAGGACAGGCTGCACATGCTCCCCAAACTAGCTCTTACTGTCTCTCATAAAAACATTGTGTATTCCACAAATCCTTTGAATTGCGTTAGCCAGGGGCACAGAGAGGAACAGTGTCCCTTCATCAGGCAACCATCCGACAAGGCAGGGCACCATAAGGCAGTACAGAAAGGAGGGATGCACCCATGAGAGCCCCAATTTGGACCTCACTGAAATCAAGGTATTTTTACATTGATGTAAGTGAGAAGAGGATAAAGCCAAAAGCAGTTGTATAAGACATGAGAATCAGAATAATAAAGGTTTCGATAGCTAGCTACAAAGGTCCCTTTTTCTAGGAAGAGAATAGACCAGGAGTGGCCAATCTGTGCTAAGCATACCACAAGAAGCATGTACAGTCCCCATGTGTAGCACATAGCAGAGTACGAAGGTGATAGGCAGTAGGGGCAGGGATCAGACAGGGAGCACAGGGCAGGAAGCAGAAAGCAAAGCTGCAGATCAGGTACAGGAAAGGTATCACAGCATCACTTGGGAGGGTGCGAAGCTAATTAATGGCACACCTGCCAAAAAGGTTGGCCCCCATAGGAATAAACCATTGTACCAGTTGGGACCAAACAGCAAAACTCTCAAAGATGACTAGCCAAGTAATTCCCTGTTCCAGAGATTAACAATTTATGGCCCTCCAAGTAAACCAATTTTAATATCTTCCTTAGGGGTGCACCTAGGATGCATCCTTTGCCCAATGATCAGAGGACAGACACTAAAGTATTCATGAAACCCAATGCTCCCTGCAGACATGGGGCTTCAGTGGTACCTCTGACCTGAGCGGTGTCATTCCAGCCTGCAGCCTGAAAAGAGTGCCAATCACTGCCCTAAATCCTAATATCCCATCCCTCCAATAGGAGGTGCTTCATTGCTGAGCTGACTGTCATTCTCTTGGGTCATAACAGCAGTAGAAATGGTCCATTAAACAGCCTGGGGCTGATTTTCATTGATACTGAAGCCACTTTACGCTGTTCTAGCAGTGGGAAGGACCTTTGAGTGGATGAAGATTACCGTGATTCTCACTTAGAGGCTCCTTTACACTAATAGAGCTTTTTAAAGTGGCTTTGCTGAAAATGAGAGTCTGTCTATTGTTTTGTTTTTTGTGTTCTTTTACTGTTCAGATATCCAAATGGCATGCTCCATTTTAAAATTATGCTGTCAGGGAGAGAGAAAGAAAGAAAGAAAGAAAGAAAGAAAGAAAGAAAGAAAGAAAGAAAGAAAAATATATATATTACATTGTTCAATGGCTTGTAAGAAATCTACATGGCCTCTTTAACAGTCTCCCCTGTTCATGTATTGAAACAGCTCTCCACTGTTCATATACTGAAACATCTCATGAAGCTGTTGCCACAGACCTAGAACACTGTACACCTGCTAAAACACATATACAGTCACATAATATAATATAAGCTAGAGGTAACCATCTTGTCTGAAGGGTTGGCCTCAATAGTTTAATCTCCATGGCATTCCCAGTCCCATTTTCAATTACTCAAGCAAGGTTTCCACTCCATAGAGAAAGACTCTTCCACTCCAATACCCCATATTGTTAGGAAGAGTTTCTAGATATTCACATGAAATTGCTCTTTTCTTAACTTCATTTGAACTATCCAAAGACTTTATTCTGCCTTCATGGTGTTTACACCCTGAAAAGTGTAGGAACAGAAAAAAATTACATTGATTGAAAAGAGGTTTGGGGGGCTGCTGTAGTTCAGACTGATCCATTGCAACTGTTCTGTGCATCCATTCTAGCCAGCAGTGAGTGCAAGTTAAACCACTGTCATTTAGCAGCTGTTTCACTGTGATGTAGTTAACTCAACTGTTGGTGTGGATATTTGAGAACTCATGGCACTCAGGAGAGGTTCCTGAAGACTAGAGGAGGGCCAACATGGTACCTATCTTCAGGAAAGCAAGGAAAGAAGATCCAGGGAACTACAGGCCGATCATTTTGACCTCAATCCCTGTGAAGTTCCTGGAAAAAATTATCAAAGAATCCATCAACAACTGGATGACAAAAGGTGCCATTCTGAGAAACAGCGAACATGGCTTCATTTTGGGTAGGTCGTGCCTGACCAACCTCATCTTCTATGATCAGGTGATGGGTCACCTGGACGGGGGGGGGGGGGA